GTTTTAATTGAGTTTCAAAAAGGGTGATGTTATATACAGCTACTAAGCAGTCAAAGTTGTCAATATTCATGTGCTCACATTAATCAGAAGAAAAAATATGTTAAGAAAATGTTATAATTGTTTACTCCATTTCTTATCCTTAATCAATTTCTCGATTCCCTGCTCTTTTTTTTTCCCCTCCTCTCACTGAACAGGCCAAGTTTTTGTACGGGAGCAAGTTTACCCCTGTGGAACGACAGGATATGAAACTCATGATCCAGAGCAATATGTACAAGTATCTCAGCATCCTGCTTGATGCACGAGAACGTTTTGAGGAGGAAGATTTATTAGAGAGAAGAAGGCAAGCTTCTGACGAAGAAGCTGCTGAAGCAGGTATCATATCAAACAAAGAACTCTTTGGAAATTATTTCTTAGGTTATCTCAGTAATAGGTTTTCAATAAATGATGAAACTTTGGTTTTTTGCTGCCATAAGAGTTTGCTTTTCTACCTTTTTTTCTTTTCTTTTCTTTTCTCAAAGTCTTACCTATTTGGGTATTTGAATATGGTCTTTGTATTATTGCTGTATGAAGCAAAAAATATGACAAAAACTTGATTTTTTATGGTTCAGTAACTATTGTTAGTACTGTTATTAAAAAAGATTCATTTTGTACTGCTTTCACTTCATTTCGTGATTTGGTTTCTTTAAGTTTTTGCAGAGGTAAATAACCAATGCATTTATTCTCTCAACCCAAGATTGAAGCACTTTTCTGACTGGCTGCTCGACATAATTGCCACTGGGGATTTGGATGCATTTTTCCCAGCAGCAACACGCGAATATGCCCCGCTTGTTGAGGAAGTATGGAAAGATCCTGGTATTCAGGAGACTTATAAGAGAAAGAATGAACTCCACTTTCTTCCAGACGTAACCGAGTACTTCTTGAGCAGGGTATATTCTTCATCACTTTAAAGCTGAGTGTTTTAGTGTAATTGAGAGAGAGAGGGCTTGTGTGATATTGCTTCTGCGTTATCTTCGAATAATATATTATATGGTCTTCTTGAAAGCTTAATCAAATTCGATTCAGTTACCAAATATTTTTTTTTTTTGGGTCTCACAGGCAGTTGAAATATCGAGCAACGAGTATGAACCTTCAGACAAAGATATACTGTTTGTTGAAGGGGTGACTCAAGGTAATGGGCTGGCTTTTATGGAGTTCTCATTGGACGATCGAAGCCCAATGTTAGAAACTTACACAGAAAATATGGAATCTGGGCCCCAACCTCTCACCAAGTAAGTTTTCCTTGCCAGGAAGAAATATTGTCGGCTCCAAAGGAAAAATTTCAACTCTTGAAATTGGATATGGATATTATGGTTTAGTTTAGTTTGTTCTAAAATAAAAATAAAAATAAAAAAATTGTTCATTTCACAAATAAGGTACCAGCTGATTCGAGTCAACGCCAAGGGCATGAACGAGGGTTGCATGTCGGTCGAGATGTTCGAGGATGTTCGTGTGGTCGTTTTCTGGGTGGCCCTCAGCGATTATGTTCAGGTGTGGGTGTCTTCAGACGCTTCCCGTGAGCCCCACCTCACGAACCGTATGATTCAAAGCAGGGACTTCTTCGAGTCCATGGTCAAGCACCCGTGCTTTAAGGACACCCCATTTGTCCTCGTCCTCAACAAGTATGATTTGTTCGAGGAAAAAGTCAACCGGGCCCCGCTAGGGAAATGCCATTGGTTCAGTGACTTCAGCCCGGTCAGGCCCCACCACAACACACCGTCCCTGGCCCAACAGGCCTACTTTTACGTGGCCATGCGGTTTAAGGACCTTTACG